TATATATATAAAATCGCGAATCTGTCTGTCTGTCTGTGTGTGTGTCTGTGTGTCGCTGGACGATACGCAGTTTCATTGGACGGCGGTTGCCCCTGGCAACGGGTAGCGACGCCTTCGCCGCTTTCATTGGACGGCGGTTGCCCCTGGCAACGGGTAGCGATGCCTTCGCCGCGGGGTGGACGCCATTTTTAATTCCCGTTAAAAATAGGCGCACGCATTAACACGCGACTCTGAGGTAAATTCATCAAAGTTTCACGTCCTCTTCACTCCCCCCACCACAATGTGTGCAATTACTATTATAGGGTCGGTAGATTATAAAATTATAGCGATTAGACAGTATTATTGTAGCGCGGGGGGGGGGGGGGGGGGAACGGCACCCGTACCCAGCCTCAGCCGGGTGGGAAAATCAGGCGAGGCCGGAGGCTCTGCACGGTGCTAGGCCTCGACACCCACCACGCGACTCTGAGGTAAATTCATCAAAGTTTCACGTCCTCTACAGACTGGTGAGGGAGGGACAGTGGTGAGGGAGGGAGAGTGCTGAGGGAGGGAGAGTGGTGAGGGAGGGAGAGTGGTGAGGGAGGGAGAGGGGTGAGGGAGGGACTCAGCCTCAAAACGAGTAACTGGTGTGGCGTATTAACATCGCCACTGGGGAGACAAAGGCGGCCGGGCGTGGTGGATACAAGTCCCGGGCGAAGCCGGGTAGTACAGCTAGTATTATGTAAGAATAATAATGTAACATAATGGTCATTGGAACATTTATAAAAGCTATAATGATTACAATGTCAGAACCCCAATAATAGAGTTATAGATTTATAACCATCAATATAAGTCTATAAAATTAATAGTGTTCAATAGTGCATGGATTTACTGCAATGTGATAACCCATCAGTTTGTCCTTCTCATGCACCTCCGATTAGCACGGTTTGCTATGTACCAGACGAAAGACGTTCAACATACATGCATAGCTCTGTTGGCTTTACCAAAAACGAGAGGGGATTTCTAAAACATTTGTAAATGAAACCATCAAGAGGGGCTTGGCCAAATTGGTCCGGAGCTCCAGCTACAGGTGGGCAGTGCGAGCTGTTCAGAATGCACAGTCAAAGGGGCCTCACTATGGCGAGGTCAGAAACAGCTGTCGCTGCCTTGCATATCCTGGTAGCAGTACAATGCTGCTGTTTTAACAATGTGATTATACTTATTGATCCCAGCCTTTAATCAGCCTTAAAAGTGTGAAATTAAAAGATATGTGAATTAAAGTTGAGTTACAGCATTAATATATTAAACCATGCATTGTCTTTTAAACTGATTGGTCCACACCAGAGACATGCATATATTATCAGAGTATGTTTTTTGTTTGCATTCTGACCACAAGTATTGTGGTTAATGCAGACATGATTCCTTGTAAAAGGTTTAAGTTTGGTGTTTTAACATCTTAACACCTGTTTGTTGCCAGAAAAAAGAGGGAAAACCTATTCTCATATTTTGGTACTGGCAAAGGAGGTCCCATGAAGTAGAGTATTAATAATATATGAATAAACACAAATATAAGAGATGCTCACTGAACGAAAAAGATGGCGTGTGGTGCGAACGTTGTGGAAGGTTGGATGAAATCGGACGAAAGAGGAAAGCACGTAGACGAAATTTTAAATGTGGTTATAATTGAAAACGGTCGAAAGAGCGAATCGACGAAAGTCAAGTGGACGAAAGTCAAAGTATCGCTGTATGCAGTTAATGAACAGTATTTAATTAGCTTTTTTTGTTTTGGAAGCAGAATAATTAATTATATAATCACTGTAATGTGCGCATGATCGATTGAGAGATAAGTAGTAGTGTAGCAGATAGGTTAGAGTCACAGTTAATTTCCTGCATTAGTAGCCTATTAGAGATTGATTCTGTGACAATAAAATATAAACTCATGGAAATATCAGAGATAAAATACAATATCATTCCAAATAACTGAAGCAATGTGCACACAAGAGTTTTGATAAAATGAATTTGCCCTGAAAATGTGACAGACTTGGCCATGCGAATTACTCAATATTACCGCTGTACTGTATATTCACAGGAATATATGATGTATGGTACATCTTAATGTCTGAAAATGAGTTATCATCTGACAAAAAAAAATCACAAACCAAGTCATCAAGGTCGGTGCAAAACAACATTACTAATAATTACACTACAGTATATAAATCTACAGATAATTTTCATAATGACATAAGTTTTAGGGCTGGAAGGAGCCAATTCTGTTGAAATTCGTTGCATTACATTGATAACGGGTGGTGGCCCGATTATTTATTTATTTTATTTTTCCCAATTCTCGTCACGGGGAGTTAATTTTAATGATTTTTTTTATGATACTATTGGCCACAGCAATGAATAAAAAAACCTAATTTCCCTTGAATTTGGTTCAATAATAAATATTTTGCTGACATAAATATTCGAACTGCAAAATCTGCCAACAGTATTCCCTACCGCCTCTTTCCTGTCGTTCCTCTGGATCCAGTGGTGCGTACAGCCATAATGTGTGCCTGCTGTATGGGGCGTGTTCATTTATGCCCTCTCCTACTCTACATTTTATCTTGCAAACTGGTTCTTGTGATTTTTGTGCACTGCTATCTTGTGTACTGTCTTGTACTTCCTCCTCTTTTGTACTGTCTTTTTGTGCTGTTTCGTCTGTTCACATATTTTTGCTTTTATTTGGTCTGAACTGTCAGTTGTTGTATTGTTTCTTGTACTGCCCCTCCTTTGTACGTGGTCTCATGGGAAATATAAATTGTTGTCTTTCATTCATTTATCCATGCTGTATGTTTTGTCTTTTTTCGTCCAACCATTTCTGTATCCATCACATTTGTCCATCTTCCTTTGCCATTTTGGTCTTAACGTTAACATAAAATTTGCATATTATTAAAACATAACTTACTCATGATATGCATAACCAAAACATTTTGATCACTGGGCAAAGAGATTTAATGAATGCATAATTTTGATCAATAATTAGTATTATTGGGTTTTCATGAATGAATTTGTAAGGACAGTATGGGGCCTTGTGGCTGTAAATAATGATTGCAGCAATGAAGACAGGCAGGGTCAAGTGAGGTAACTGGGTGAGGAGTCAACACGTGGGTAGATATGGAACCCCCGGGGTGCTATAGTGAGTTAAAGAAGAGAGTTCGGGAAAAGGGGCATGGCAGAGCCGAGGGGAAATAAAGGGCAGCGCAGATCGGGGCTCGGGGCTGCTGTGGGGATTAGGGGGTCCGGACCGTCGTCGCTTTCATCACTGTGGATCAACCTCATCGTCCTGGAAGGCTGGGAAAGAAGTTATACATCTTTACCGTAGATACTACATCGACAGCTCCAATATAGTCAGTCAGCTATGTAGTGAACGTCACGTAGCAGCTACATAATCACCCAGTTGTATATAGTCAACCTGCGTCCACCTGATAACATGGCATTGAGTCGGGTGGACTGTAATATATAACATATATATATTTAACTTAAGCAAGACAGCGTCTCTGAGTGCTACATTACACATTGTTCCAATCCGAATGGATGTAAAAAATCATGACAAAATGAATTTTGGTCTGGATGCAATTCTTGAATAAAAATACTACACAGTTTAGAATGGATCACCGAATAACTGTAGCCATTAAACTTCACGTTGTACGTTTCTGCACCAATGAATATACCATTGCATAAATGTTACTATGTTGAAAATTTTCCTATTCAAATGAATATACGATACTATAAGTACGAAAACGAAGGATGGATCAGTGGCACAGTGGTTAGCGTACTGTACTCTGATGCACGACACCCGAGTTCAACTCCGGCCTTGGCAAACCATCAGTGGTTGGTGATATCTGAACCGGTCCTGGGCACCATCCCCCTTCTCCCTCTTTTCAAAACCTCCCCAATAACCAACGCAGTGAGGAGAGGCCTTCATGTAGAAAGGGACTTGACAAAGATCTATAAATTATTGATTAATTATTATGAATACTGGAAATGCTCCAACCATACTGTCAGATAAATCACTTTAACTAGCACATCAGGCCCCTTCACCTCTGCAAGGCGAGAGGGAAAAATCCACATAATGAGCTTACAGCACAGCCACCAATTAGGAACAAACTTTTGTTAGGACAAAATTCTTTGTCACCACTGACATTTAATTTCACACGATGCACGTTACCCTTTTGAATGCTAATTGTTTGTGCAAGGTCATTCCATTTTCATGACTATGAAAGTGTTGTCTACATAGCAGATCACAAGTAATAATGCATTGATACATCGATAATATAAATGTATTGCACTCAAAGGTACGTGACCGGATTATTACTTATGCAGATTGCATACATGTGATGTATGACATCACCTTACGATAAGGCTAGTGGAGAAAACTAAACTATACAAGTGAGACAGAATGAGGACAAGAATAAAAAACAAGATAGCTAAAACATATATGAAAAATAATTATTCTTGATTTCAATAGTGGCTCCAAATTGTGACAATTCATCAATTCTCCAGTGTGTGGGTCGAGGTTGGGGGGGGGGTTCAATAATTATATAGCTATCAATATGTTGTTGTTATTTGGAGTTTCGTCATTATTTGTTAAGGTGTGCAAATTCGTGTATACAGTATATTACTCTTCATCCCTCCATTGTTACCAATCAGCAAGTCTATAAGTATCAACAATACTGTACTTGCAATTAGCAACTGATTAGGGAAAGACCTTAACCTAGTTTAGTTAATCCTGGATTCTGACAAATGCTCTTGGCTGAACACAGAAAACAAGCTCTGAAATCTACACTCTGACTTCCAGGATGCATTTACAAGAACAGTGTCCCACAATAAGGGATTATCCCACTAAGCCCCAATCGGCACTCATGCAGTCCCACATGAGATGGCATTAAACCGCAGTGCCATTAAAGAAAACAATCGAAAGGTTGCAACTTTTCAGAACAGCAATACAAAAAAGTTTAGGTGAGCGCAAATATAATGAATACCATTTAGCAGCAGCTTCTGTGTGCTGGTGCCGTAGCCAATGGGAGTCTGAATGTAGTTGTTGCTGCTCCAGGAGCTGGTTAGCTTCTCTGGGCTCTCTTGTAGCTGCATAGTGATCTGCTCGAGTTCAGAGTCCAACTGGCGGGGAAATACACATGCGCCACACCACACGCACATGGGTATGCAACAAGCGTTAATGCACAAACACAAGGTATCGCTTAACTGGGAATGAATTCTCCTGTACGTTAGCTGATCTAAGTGAGCCATTTCCTCGGCCTTTTTTTTTCTTCTCTCGGTCAGTTCCCTCCGTTGGCTGCCATGCTGTCACCAGCCTCCTACATCGGCCATCAATCCTTATATCAGCGTGGTCTGCCAAAACCCACTTAAATTTTCTTAACAGTCAATTTAATGTCACTAATCTGTGTATGCTTTCTTATCGATATTTTCCTCTACCTATATTTCCGTGTAATTCCAACTACTCACCTCTCCGTGCTTCATTGCATACGATGTCTCTGTCCACGTTTCCTATAGATACGTCACAGCAGGTAATATCCTATGATTGAAAATGTTCTCCATTAGGTACATTGGCAAGTTGCATTTTGGCACGTTGTTTTTCAAGCTGTATAATTAAATTATCTAAAGAGATTTGCGTTGCTTCTTTCTGTCATAATGAAGGGATTGGGAGATTAATCAAATGCACACACCTGGTTCATAATACTATGTAGTTGAAGCCCACAGGGCATTGTAGCTCCAGAATATATGTTATTCTGAGATAAACACATATAGACAACTATCACAATGATGCAGGAACTTGAGAGCGCCTTCCATATATCCTCCACAAATAGAAGCAAGCATGCACATAGTACACATCCACAATTTTGCACTTTTTAAGCAGAACACAATCAAATGTGCACTACTAAAGAGGTGGTGACACCGTATAGCCTCTCTGATGTTTTTCCAATTCTACTGCATGTTGTTTTATTTACTGAAAAAGCTTCCAGCACTTGGAGTGAAATGTCGGACACCATGCCGAACAATACACGATACAACCCTAAAAATCATTGCAGAGCTACATTTTCACGTGTGCTTAATATTGGATACATGTTCATTGATATTCAACAAAACAAAATCGGGGGACCAAGGCACCTCTGTGATGCGCATGCGGAGGCGGTGATTGTCACTCTGCAAGCCCTCGAATTGGCTGTTGGACGTGTGGTTGACACTGGAGACGGACGGAGGGGTGCGAGTGTCCTCGCGCTTTTGGTTTTGTGTGAAGCGGAACCTGCGGTTCTGTGTGGCTTCGTCCGGATTTGTTCTCAGAGTGATGAGCTGTGCACAGAAAACGAAGCTTTAGTCAAACAGAACGATGTCTATAAATCTCAGTAAATACATGCAATGTATAACTACCCAGTAAAGTGAAATGATTACAGTACATAATAATAATCATATTTATTTGTCCAGAGACATATTTCAGATACTTGTGGCGATGCTCGAGTGTAGGGCACTGGTGACTTTCGGTCGAAGTCCCAGTAGCGTTTTTAAATATGTTTTTAATGTTTTGCGAGATGTATGTTAGCATATTGAACCTCTTTCGCACCCTACGTAGCCAACTGTGCTAATCGGAGGTGCGGGATGAAATGAGATCGATGAAAGGTCATCTGGTAAAGCGCTCCAGAGTTGACTCGAAATCCTCTTGTAGCTACTGTGTAGGTACTGTGTAGCTTCAAGGTTGGCTACGTACGGTAGCCCATTGAGGCAAAGGCGGGCCGAGGGCAGTCTACAATTCCAGGCATTCTCTACACTGACTGCCCCCTTTAAGGTAAACGACTAAAATAAAACAAACGACCAAAAAAAGAGAAATGTGAAAAATAGAAAAAAACTATTGTAAAACCCCACTACTTCCCCAAAACACCTAAATTCTTTTGAGCCAAGACTAGAATGGGCCTACTGGTCAGGTTGCAGTAATAATCATAAAAAAGGTTAAGAATAGCTTTTAGAAAAAGTCTAATGGACGATGCTGGAATATCAATTTGTCAAATTGGGCACACTGTACTATTTTAATAAAAAAATAAAAAACTGATTTATATATAAAATAAAGTACTAACATTTCAAGGCAAATAATAAATGATTGCTTTTAGTATTGGAGGCAAAAAATTATATATTCTATCCTTGATTTATTTTTCATATGGCATCCTTTATGCCATGGCATCTCAGAGCACATTACATGTGACAAGCAACTTACATCACATCTCAACTGAAACATTTGAAAGGGCACCCCCAGTAGCAGCTGTCTATGTTGGCACAAGGTGACTTAGCTGCTGGCTTGCAAATGGGGCCTTAGTCTGCCTGTATAGGGCAATTATTGCTATGTAAAATCCCAATTGAGTAATTTATTGGTAATTTATCACATTTGGACAATGATGCCAAACAAAGAGGCCTTCTTGTTTTGAATTATGTCCGGGGATCTTTAAGGTTCGCTATGCAGCAGACTTAACATATTATATGGTCAATACACCCGCAGTAATAGCCAGTGTAACATGTTGGATTCAAACCACGATCCTCTGCAACAAGTGGCGAGTATGCTACCACTGGGCCATGTCACTACCCCATAAAGCAATTTCTTCTATGTTATATTAAAATGGGAAGTAGCGATTGTTTACATATAGCTCTACCTTTTACATGTGCATACACAAATACTGTGCTCACCTTTAGGCTTTACATGCACAAACATACATGAACACCGCACTGACCTTTATCCTCAATATATGCGTACATACACACTGTGATGACCTTCACCCTTCATATGTCAATAGATACGCACTCTATTGACGTTACCCTTTACATGTGTATGTGCGCACATGCTCACTGTGCTGACCTTTGGAACAAAGACCAGACAGAGTGTGATGGTGGAACTGAAGATGGTGACGAGAGCCACGATGCAGTACTGAACATTGGGCTGGTCCCTCGTCAGAAAGGAGACCGCCGCGCCGATGATGCACATGATGCCCACGTTGTAGACGCTCATGCCGATGTACTTGCTGTCATTAAGAGCCGGGATGGAGACGTTCCTGGTTTCCCATGCCAAAAAGCATCCAAATACCTACACAGAGAGGCCAGTGGGGTTTTACTTAGATGCTGCGGTAAAATAATGAAGTGACTTGTTGAATATCATGTAATTTGTGAGTTTGATGCAACCAACCAGATGCTTAGCAAGCCAAGAGTAAATTGCCTATATAATTAATTAGATTATAGAGGACTCAGTAGAATTAATGTACCACTGTCTGTTTATAAAAACAAGTCTCTGCCCTAAGAATAGGTCTGTCCATAATTAACTACATTTGGGTATTTGTATTACATGTTCAGGGTTTTTTTTTCTTTAAATCATGTTATGTTAAATAAAGTTGACTTTTTTACTTGTGGTGAACATGCAAACAAACATGCTGTCATAATATATGCATTGTCTTTGAAAATGATTGGCCTACAGCAGATTTGATTCCTTGCAAAAGGGATCTATTTGGTGTTTGAACATATTAACACCTATTTATTGCCAGAAAGGTGTAAAACCTATTCTTATTTTTCATGTAAAATTTGAGCCATTGATTGAAGCGACACTTGCCAAAAGATTAGTGGTTATAAAAACTTCACGCTGTGGAAAACCCTCTCGATCCAAGTGTGGTCTTCTGGATTTCATTATATGTTGAGCACTTCTCTCGAGCTTTCACCATGCAACTGCTATGCGCATCTTCATGAGTTGAATTCTCAACACGTGACCCATCCCAGAAGACCGCACTCAGGTTATGACTGGCTGTGAAGACCTACCTGTGACAACCCTCTTATTCTTAACTTAACTACTTTAGGTTTCTTGAGATTGGCCCAAAAATGTATTGTCGAGTGGTGCAGTGTATTTTGAAAGGTTTTAGTTTTCTTTATTCCGAACAGTACATTAAAACTATTTTTTTTCTTTTTACAAAACCTCCATAGGTAGCACATTACTGAGCAGACTTAGCTATGAGCGAGTATTTGTTTGACAATGGGAGACGATGCTTACTTTATACCTCAACCGTGGACACCTTATTATAGATAATTATAATAAATAATAATTTACAGCCAATTTGTCTCTCCACTGTTGGATGAAGGCCTCTTCAAGCCATGTCCGTGATGGGGGGTTGTTCGGTCACACATCTCCATGCTGGTCAGTGCGGGTTGGTGAAGTGTGGCCCTGGGGTTAGGTTTGATATCACTTTCCCGTAATGTTAACCATGACTGGTAATCAAAATCAGGTTGACAGTTGTTCAAAACGCAGTGTGCTAACCACTGCACCACCCCCTTCTGATATACAGTATAGAACACGATGTGGAATAAGTTAATGTTTTGTAGTTAACGGTAAACAAAGGAATATTTGTATTACCTGTACTTAGCATTTTGGAAAGCAGTGGCATAGTGCTTAACACACTTACGGTATAAAACTGGCCACCTGAGTTCAATTCCCGGCCCCAGCTAACATCAGTGGTGAGAAACATCTGGACTGATCCTGTTCCCCCTCCTTCACCAATCCACACTGACCAGAGTAGTGACATGGCATTGACCAGTGGATTAACTAAGGGTTGTAAATAATTTTTATTTTATATTTTTATTTTTACACTTTCTTTTAGTGGTTCACAAGAGGAATGTGTGTACGGTTGTATAATCACTATCTACGCGTCTAGAATTGCAAATCTATGCTCCACACATAGTGGTGTAATGCTTTTTATAATTTCTACCCTCAAAAGGCATCCAAAAGAGACACGAGGAGATTTTCTGTTACACAATGTGTTGTTGGGCAATCGTGCATTCTGGGATTTAATGGAGCCATATTGGATCACTTTGCAGATCTGTGGAAGTTGACATGGTGACAAAACCTACATTTGTATTTGTGGAAACAGACAAAAACATGTTAGCCTCGTGTCTGGCATAGACAATACACAAGGAAAAACAAACATTTCCAAAAGGCAGCAGTTAACAATAAACACTAAATTATAAACAAATAATGTATTAACTCGGATTGCCACGATATGGTAATACTAAAACATATTAAGATATAAAGTCCACAATAATCGTATTATACATTTTGATAAATATTGTTATATTAGAATTATCGTTGCTCATATATATTTTATATAAATTATTTTCTGGAGATTGTTTTTACAGTAATTACTGTTCACAATAATATTATTTGTAGATAAATAGCTATTAACCATTAAATCAGTATTTTGCCAAATATTTTCCAAAGTAATTCACGATTTAGCTGTTATATGACATCAACATCCTTGCAGTTCGTTTATTTTTAGCGTAACTGACAGCACGTACCTTATACCTGAAATCATCTTAAGACTTACAGAAGCTATAATTTGAGTGAACTGCAGTTGAATAACTCTTAAACAAAATGTATTCATACTGAAAGTACAGCAAAGGGAACGCAAAAGCAATGCAAAAAATAGTCATATATGATTACAATGGCATGGGAAATTTATATCACGATAATCATCACATCGTGAAAATGTATATTGCATCGTGATTTTTCTTAGATCCTGGCAACTCGATTAATAACACTTGGAGAGTCTGAAAGCACTGAGAGTTTACGCACTCTGCCACCGCCGCCCAGCATACCATGAGCAGGCCCTTGTAGGCGTATATGATGCCCAGCCAGATGGTCATGTGTGTGCTCTGACAGTGCTCCAGCAGCGGCAGAATGGTCAAGTCCTTTCCCGTTGGATCGTGCTACCCACACGGTGGCAACAGCGACAAGGAAGAAAACACTCACGTTAAAAGGGATTGCGCGTCAGCGTTATTTTGGGCTTAAAATAATTATTTTGATTACATTTGTTCCAAAAATGTAACTTTTTTCCTTAAAATGTAAACTTTATATATTACGCAGTCACCAACAGGTTCGTGGGAGATGACAACTGCTCGGTGAGACCTTCATCCAGCAGTAGATTGATCATGATTGATGGTGATAGATACAGTGCATATTATTTTAGAATGTTTAATCGCTGTTATAAACGACCAACTGAATCATCGTATACAAGTCCTTGGCGATCGTCATACACCACATATTTTTTGAAATGGCTGTGATGCACTTGCGGAAACTGCTGTTTTCGAAGGGTTGACAGGGTCAATCACAGTGGAAGACAATGGCTTGAATGGTAGAAAAATTGAGCTATAGGAGTGTATGATAGGCCAAAAAACAAAGGCACATACTTGTGCAATACGTCCAGATAAACGGTAAAAACATACAAATACACACATGTATATTTAATATCAGGCTGGTTGTGTATCAGCAACACCTACATGTCCAAAGTGGCACAGCCAGCACTGGCATTTGGTAACGTAGCATGAACAAAGCATTGTCCAGTTGGAGGTCTTCAATCATGAAACTCTTTATTCAGTAAATTCCCATTACAATGGGCACTTGATTTAAATGATCAAAATAACATAAAAAAAGAGCATAAGGGAACGTACACAACCGTGGCTAAGAACCCCCTGCGCTATGGAAGGAGAGTCATTTTTAAATCCTTTATATTAAGTTCGCGTGCTTGCTTGCTTGCTTAGGACCGTGCAAATCTTTCGGTCGTTTTTTAACCCACTTCCCGTGATCCAATCGAGCTGACATTTTCCACACAGCCTCGTTGTGCCAGACAATTATTGTTCGTGAAAAAAATTCCCAAAATTTTAGACTTTTTAGGCAAAAAAAAATTATTTTACATATATTAAAATAGAACTAATTCATGGCTTTGGCTGAACGTCAGAGTGTAAGAGCCAAGAGCGTAACCCCTCCACAGACCGTGGCGGAGTAGCGCAGTTGGTAGCGCCCTTGCTTCCCATGCCAAAGGTCGCGGGATCGATCCCCGCGTCCTCCACAGGCGAATATATTTTTAAATCCTTTATATTAAGTTCGCTGCCACGCATATAAAGGATTTATAGTGAAAAACTTTGTTTTTACGGGTTATACGTATCTACACTCCTCAGGTGACTCATCGAGGAACGCCGCACACTCTCAGGGACCTGAGGAATTCGGGACATGACCCAGGCACGAACGCCCCGAGGCCTACCAGCTGAGTGCAGTTTGCCACCAGTCTCACTGGCCAAAGCGGCTCCCATTGTTTTATATTTTACAAGGGAGATCCGTGGTGCGTGAGCACAGCAGCACTAAAAAACAATAACGATCAACATTGCTGAGAACGAGTACATGGGTCTTAAGGAATATTTCGCAACTGACAAACGAGGCATGTAACAAAACACACGTGAATAAAAAAAAGCTACAAACATCACGTGAGAGAGAGAGGCACCAAAAAAATGTGAGGTACAGGTGCAAGTAACCCCACTACCAGCGAACTGGCCCCTCCCTGATGACCCTATTGCTATTGTTGTGTGCCGCCACAGCGAGCTCACGCCCAATTGGCCAGATTCTTGTAACTTTCTCAAAGACTCCTTCATTCATTATCTACAGGCCGCCTGAGTGAGACACGACTTAAAACTTTCGTGGCTGCGGGAATTCATGTTATTTGGTTCTTTCGGTAAAGTCACGTAGATAGAAAAAAATAAAAGTAAATAAAATACAAATTAAAAACTACGACATTTCGATCACACCACAAGCGATCGTCATCCTCCTGATGATACTTTAATTTGTTTCTATCTCCGTGACTTTATTGAAAGAACCAAAGAATATGAGTGAGACTCCCTCGCACGGCCTGCCCTCCCTCTCTCACCCAGTCACCAACGCAGCACCACTCGAGCCCCACCAATACCCTCTCTCCACCACGTGTGGCGCTCGAGATTAGCGAGCCACCACACGCATATTAAACAAAAAACAAACCACAAGACACGTACAAGAGTCCAAGTGATCACACGCCTTCATAAAAAAGCACCGTGTGTTCTGCGATGACACATTTCCCAGCGTTTTCAATGTGAGAACCACGAAGATATTTAAAATCATGGCTGCAGCCCAAGCTCTCAAAAACGATTAAAACCATTTAAGGATCGTAAATAATTTTTTTGTAGATCACGTACAACAGCCACCATCATCACAATGCACTCATATGTGAACTCAATTAGCTTGATAATGACATAATGTAACATATCTATAATCCTAAAATTAATGCAGAAATTAAACCCTGAAAGTCCCAAGTTATTGTTTATTTTTAAATCCTTTATATTAAGTTTGCTTGCTTGCTTACGACCATGCAAATCTTTCGGTCGTTTTTTAACCCACTTCCCGTGATCCAATCGAGCTGACATTTTGCACACAGACTCGTTGTGCGTGACTATGTATTTTCGTGAAAATTTTTTTTCCAAAATTTTACACTTTTTAGGAAAAAATAAATTATATTTAATTACCAATTGCTTAATGGTGGCAGCCATTCATCTGACCCATAGGTGGCAGCCATCTCAAGCCAGAGAACGAGAGGACTCTAGCCGCCCGTTTCAAAGACCAATGTGGGCTGGGTTGTGGCCCATTGAACACGAATATAAAGGATTTATAGTGAAAAACTTTGTTTTTACGGGTTAATTTTTTAAAATTATATTTTGCTGGAATTCCTGTTTGCGCCGTGTATATTTCAAAGAGACTGTCTTCGCATATGTAATGAGCGACTTCCGTGACACATCGTAGAGAGAGTACTTCTTTTATTCCTTACACGGGCACAACACAGGCCAACCTTATCCTTCTCACTCTGAGTACAGCACTTAGATATTAACGTCTCTACTGGCTACACGCATGGCCGATCACTCGGCATGGTCCCACCGCCCTCACTCAGCTACGCCGCTAGCTGGCGGCGTGACGAGGATGGCGATGGAAACCCCGCAGGAGATGTTCCACGTGGCTGGACGACGGAGAGAGATGACAGCAAGCAGCGACGCAGTCCGGACCAAAGAATCTACACACGAACACCGAGCCCTGGTCCGCCTCCACTTATATATCCCCAGGCGTGGCTAGGCTCCGCCTCCGGCCATGCCCTCTCGTGGAACCGGAGCATCTCAGCCAACCCCGCCTATTACCTTTGCCCCAGACACCTCTCCCTTTCAGATTGGATGTTGTCTTAGCGGTGCCCATACCCGTGCTTCTCTTTCCCAGCCAGCAGGTGTCATCATGTCATTACACATACACTGCACAGCATAGTGCCAATGAAGAAGGAAAACAATACAATTCGTCCCAGCAAAACAGTCCACGGAGTTGGAGGTGATATCTGCCCATGCTCACTGATGATTCTATTCCAAGGGAAAGACCTTGGGTCAGCACTGTAATCTAGCTTTAATAGGGTGTGCCGTAGCGTGAGGTACAAAGTAATTAGCATGGTTTGCACGAGGCCTCACACAACGATTATGCAAGAGCATTGCCACCCGAAATGCATTCTCCGTGCACAGTTTTTTTTTACTATTAGGCTCCAATGAAAAAATATCCATTTGTTATTTATTTTGAGCCCCACTTTGCAGCCTTCTTTAGGAAATCATTCAATAATTTCCTCCAATTTAATTCCATTGGTTGTTGTCATGGGCAAATTTGAGGGGATTAATATTTTCTCTCTGTTTACACCTTTATTTCTAGACTTAAATTTCCATAAAATATCTTACCAATGTTGCTGCGAATAACTTCGGAAAGAACATATCTTCCCGTTCAAATCTGCATCTGATATGTATTTTGTTATTTTCTTCATGTAATCTCAGTGTAGCTGCATTATCCTTATAATGTTTTATTCAGGCCTTGGCTTATGATAGCTCGTATAACTGTAATCATTTTCACAGAGTCAAATCCCTTTTCATAATCTACTGTTCATGTCTGCTGCATAATAAACCCCTTTACCTTGAGCCCGAATAAAAACTTACAGAGACAATAATCTCACTTTCTAAGAGAGATGTTTAAACAAAATATCTCTGCTGTCATCGCTTTGGTAATTTAATTAAATGGTTTCTGCAGCTCATCTCTAGCCAATTAGCATTTGCTTTCATTTCTTGTGATACTCTCTACAGATACAGCATTTCAAAATGTGTGATAACTTTTGCTTGTCACAAATCTACATGACCAAAATAGTTACAAACAGTAAGCTAATATCTCAAAATCTTGCTGTTAGTCTTCACCCCCCACAAAAATGTTTAACATACTGTACAGATTGTGGCATTGCTAGCAAGTCATACCATGTCTGACATCACTAAACAAATCTTATTAATTACTTTGTATGAAAATGAGGAACTACGAAAGAAGTACTTCTGCTTTGTTGAAATTATGGTGGAAACGTATCTCCTTGATATGAGCAAAACATTCTTGATCTTGTAAAATATCCATTGCACACACTTGCCAATTGTGACATTTGATGACTGCATCGGTGGGCAAATTATTTTACAAAGAAGAAATTTGAATGAAAATGTTTAAGGACAGCGCAGGAAGCCAATAAATAATTGATCACGTTTGTGACATGACCACAAAAATTTTATATTCACCTACTGACAAGTAGGCGTTCAGTGGAAAACATTGATTTCCGGTCACTCCAGGGAATTCTCCATAAAGGTTGTGCTTTCTCCTGTCTGCTCCCTTGCAGATTTGCCAGGCGAGTGCCATGAGCACCAACGGCTTACGTATACTTTCTCCACACCAGGAGGTCTTCCCAACTTGGGGGATCCTCGCTTTCTTGGACAGGCGGCAGACAGGTCCACAGAGACAATACGGTTGCCAGGGAGGAGGGAAAACATTGCTCAGTATGCTCCTGCCCATACACGCAGACTCCACG